ACCTGTGTGTGTGTGTACCTGTGTGTGTGTGTGTACCTGTGTGTGTACGTGTGTGTGTACCTGTGTGTGTGTGTACCTGTGTGTGTGTGTGTGTACCTGTGTGTGTGTACCTGTGTGTGTGTGTGTACCTGTGTGTGTGTACCTGTGTGTGTGTGTACCTGTGTGTGTGTACCTGTGTGTGTGTGTACCTGTGTGTGTGTACCTGTGTGTGTGTGTACCTGTGTGTGTGTACCTGTGTGTGTGTGTGTACCTGTGTGTGTGTACCTGTGTGTGTGTGTACCTGTGTGTGTGTGTACCTGTGTGTGTGTGTACCTGTGTGTGTGTGTGTACCTGTGTGTGTGTGTACCTGTGTGTGTACTTGTGTGTGTGTGTACCTGTGTGTGTGTACCTGTGTGTGTGTGTGTACCTGTGTGTGTGTGTACCTGTGTGTGTGTGTGTACCTGTGTGTGTGTGTGTGTACCTGTGTGTGTGTGTACCTGTGTGTGTGTGTACCTGTGTGTGTGTGTACCTGTGTGTGTACTTGTGTGTGTGTGTACCTGTGTGTGTGTACCTGTGTGTGTGTGTGTACCTGTGTGTGTGTGTACCTGTGTGTGTGTCCCTAAGCATTTCTGTGAAGTCCTGGGGGACGGGAAAACATCGTGGGGCAAAGTGGGGATGACCCTGCTGAGTCTGCGGTGCCTCAAATATCGGAGGAAGAATTCACCCCCTGTGAGTGGCTGGCTGAGATGCCATCTCTTGAGGAAGTACTGAAGGCGATACGGAGTCTGAGACCAGGAAAGTCACCGGGCAGAGATGATCTCCCAAGCGAAATGCCGAGGGAGGGTGGACTGCCCTACATGACATCATAACAACAGTCTGGAACACTGGACGGATTCCGCAGGATTGGAAGGATGCCCTGGTGGTCCCCCTCTTTAAGAAGGGGGACCTCACGGACTGTATGGGGCCTTACCATCAGCCCCACCAAAACTTAGCACCTGCCTGGGTATTTTGTAGCATCGGACACTCCACCCCCACAACTCCCAATCGGTGATGGGGCAGTTGTGGAGAGAGTGGAGGGTTTCCCATACCTGGGCAGTGTGCTTATGACCGGCTCCAGTTTAACAGCAGAGGTCTCACTCCGAATCAGTCGAGCGGCAATATCTTTTCATCGGTTGCGTAACGCTGTGTAGAAGGTACCTGGTCTGTCGCTCTGCACGAAGCTTCAGGTCTTCTCGGCCACGGTCATTCCCTCCCTTCTCTATGCTTGTGAAACGTGGACTCCCCTAATGGAACATCTTCGCCGGTTAGAAACATTTAGGCTGGCCCTGCCTACGATCCATCCTGGGTTTAACCAGGCGGGATTGTGTGAGGAGCTCACAAATCCTTGAAAGATCTGGGCAAGGTCCCATCGGTGAGCTCCTCCGGCGGGCAAGGCTGCGATGGCTGGGTCATGTAGCCCGCATGCCCAGCCACCGCATGCCGAAACAGCTTTTGTTCGGCCGGATCGAGGGGGCTAAGCGGGCGCGGCACGGGCTAGAGAAGAGATGGAGTGACGTGGTACAGGAGGACGTGGAGCTGAGTGGACTTGCCGATGACTGGTACCAGCGGTGTCAAGATCGGCCTCTGTGGAGGAGGCTCGTGAAGGACGCTACTGGGCAGTTGGAGGCAGTCGCCCTCCAACAACAACGGAGGGCGGAGGAGCGACGCTCAGAACAACGAGCGGAGCGCCGGGTGGCTAAAGCACAGCAGGTTGGCACAGTAAGGGGCACAGGTGGTGCATCAGCCAGTCATCTCATTCAGTCGACCCGTGGTACTTGGGTCTGCCCCGTGACCTTCTGCCAGCGGGCGTTCGACACTTCACGTGGTCTCAAGGTGCACATGGCCTGGCACAAGCGTCGTGGTGACGTCACCGCCTCTTTGTGGCGAATGGAGGTTGTTGTTGTTGTTGTCTGTGTGTGTGTGTCTGTGTGTCTGTGTGTGTCTGTGTGTGTGTGTGTCTGTGTGTGTGTGTCTGTGTGTGTTTGTCTCTGTGTGTCTGTGTGTGTGTGTCTGTGTGTGTGTGTCTGTGTAAGTGTGTGTGTCTGTGTGTGTGTGTCTGTGTAAGTGTGTCTCTGTGTGTGTGTGTCTGTGTGTGTGTGTCTGTGTGTGTGTCTGTGTGTGTGTGTGTCTCTGTGTGTGTGTCTCTGTGTGTGTGTCTCTGTGTGTGTGTGTGTCTCTGTGTGTGTGTGTCTGTGTAAGTGTGTGTCTCTGTGTGTGTCTCTGTGTGTGTGTGTGTCTGTGTGTGTGTCTGTGTGTGTGTGTCTGTGTGTGTGTGTCTGTGTGTGTGTGTCTCTGTGTGTGTGTGTGTGTCTCTGTGTGTCTCTGTGTGTGTGTGTGGTGGATCACCTTCAGCAGCGTGACCTCCCCACGGCAGGAGAGCGAGGCAAGCGCCCAGGACGCACAGAACGAGATGCATGGCGTGGGGATGGTGGCGGTGAGTCCCAGGGTCCAGTGGATAGCGGAGTGGGCAGGGCTCGACGCGGGGATTTAACTGAGGGTGGAGGCCACCCCCCCCTCCTCCTAATCCTGCTCCTGGTGCCCCCAGACACTGCCCACTACAAACAAACACTGGCACACTCGCCCACTGGTACACTCACTCACTCACTCACCCACTGGTACACTCACACACTCACTCACACACTCACACACTCACTCACACACTCACTCACCCACTGGTACACTCACACAATCACTCACCCACTTGTACACTCACAAACTCACTCACCCACTGGTACACTCACACACTCACTCACCCACTGGTACACTCACACACTCACACACTCACTCACACACTCACTCACTCATCAACTCACTCACCCACTCACTCACCCACTAGTACACTCACTCACCCACTGGTACACTCACACACTCACTCACACACTCACTCACTCACCCACTGGTACACTCACACACACTCACTCACCCACTGGTACACTCACTCACACACTCACTCACTCACTCATCAAGTCAGTCACTCACTCACCCACTGGTACACTCACACACTCACTCACTCATCAACTCACTCACTCAGCCACTCACTCACACACTCACTCACACACTCACTCACACACTCACTCATCAACTCACTCACTCATCAACTCACTCTCCCACTCATCAACTCACCCACTCACTCACTCACCCACCCACTCACTCACCCATTCAAAAACTCACACACGCACACACCCACTCACTCACCCACCCACCCACTCACTCATCAATTCACTCACTCACTCATCAACTCACTCATCAACTCACTCACTCACTCACACTCACTCACCCACTCACTCACTCACCCACTGGTACACTCAAACACTCACTCACTCATCAACTCACTCACTCATTCATCAACTCACTCACACACTCACTCACACACTCACTCTCCCACTCATCAACTCACCCACTCACTCACCCACTCACTCACCCACTCACTCACTCATCAACTCACTCACACACTCACTCACTCATCAACTCACTCACTCACTCATCACCTCACTCACTCGCCCACTCACTCACCCACACACTCACCCACCCACTCACACGCTCACCCACCCACTCACCCACTCACTCATCCATCCACTCACCCACCCACTCACCCACCCACTCGCACACGTACTCACTCACCCACTCGCCCACCCACTTGCCCACTCACTCACCCACCCACTCACCCACCCACTCACACGCTCACACACTTAACCACTCACTCATCCAACCACACACCCACCCACTCACCCACCCACTCACACGCTCACCTACTTGCACATTCACCCACTCGCCCACTCATTCGTCCACTCAAAAATCACCCACTAGCACAACCACTCACACCCATCAATAAACGCACTCACTCGCCCACTCAGCCACTCGCCCACTCACTCACCGACCAACTCACCCACCCACTTGCCCACCTACTCACTCACCCACCCACCCACTCACCCACCCACTCTCCCACTAACCGACCCACTCACCCACTCACCCACCCACTCACCCACTCACTCATCCACCCATTCACTCACCCACTCACCCACCCACTCACTCATCCACCCACTCACCCATTGGCCCATCTACTCACCCACCCACTCACTCATCCACCCACTCACCCACTCACACATCCATTAATCCACCCACCCACTCACCCACCCACTAACCCACTCACTCACTCACTCATCCAGCCACTCAACCATCCACTCACCCACCCACTCACCCATCCACCTACTCACCCACTCACCCATCCATTCACCCTCCCACTCACTCATCCACCCAATCACCCACTCACCCACCCACCGACTTACTCACCCACCCTCTCACCCACTCACCCAATCACCCACCCACTCACTCATCCACCCACTCTCTCACTCACCCATCCACTCATCCACCCACTCACTCATCTACCCACTTACCCATCCACCCACTCACCCACTCACTCACCCAGACACCCACCCACTCACTCATCCACCCATTCACCCACTTACTCACCCATCCACTCACCCACCCACTCACCGACCCACTCACCGACCCACTAACTCACCCACTCACTCATCCACCCACTCACCCACGCACTCACCCACTCACCCACCCACTCACCCATCCACCCACTCACCCATCGACAAACGCACCAACTCACTCATCCACCCACTCACCCACTCACCCACGCACCCGTCCACTCACTCAACCACCCACCCACTCACCCACTAACCCTTTCATCCACTCACCCACTCACCCACTCACTCACCCACCCACTCACCCCCTCACTCACTCACTCACCCACCCACCCACTCACCCACTCACCCACTCACTCACCCACCCACTCACTCATCCGCCCACTCACCCACTCACCCATCCATTAATCCACCCACCCACTCACCCACCCACTCACCCACTCACTCACTCACTCATCCACCCACTCACTCAACCACTAACCCACTCACTCACCCATCCACCCACTCACCCACCAACTCACTCATCCACCCACTCATCCACTCACCCACCCACTCACTCACCCACTCACACACTCACCCACCCAACCACTCACCCACTCAATCACCCACCCACTCACCCACTCACTCACCCACCCACTCACCCACACACTCACCCACCCACTCACCCACTCACCCACCCACCCACTCACTCAACCACCCACCCACTCACCCATTCACCCTCTCACCCACTCACCCACTCACCCACTCACCCACTCACTCACCCACCCACTCACCCACTCACTCACCCACCCACCCACTCACCCACTCACCCATCCACTCACTCATCCGCCCACTCACCCACTCACCCATCCATTAATCCACCCACCCACTCACCCACCCACTCACCCACCCACTCACTCACTCATCCACACACTCACTCAACCACTCACCCACCCACTCACCCATCCACCCACTCACCCACTCACCCATCGACTCACCCACCAACTCACTCATCCACCGACTCACCCATCCATCCACTCACCCGCTCACCCACTCACCCACCCACTCACTCACCCACCCACTCACCCATCCACCTACTCACCCACTCACCCATCCATTCACCCTCCCACTCACTCATCCACCCAATCACCCACTCACCCACCCACCGACTTACTCACCCACCCTCTCACCCAATCACCCACCCACTCACTCATCCACCCACTCTCTCACTCACCCATCCACTCACCCACCCACTCACTCATCTACCCACTTACCCATCCACCCACTCACCCACTCACTCACCCAGACACCCACCCACTCACTCATCCACCCATTCACCCACTTACTCACCCATCCACTCACCCACCCACTCACCGACCCACTCACCGACCCACTAACTCACCAACTCACTCATCCACCCACTCACCCACGCACTCACCCACTCACCCACCCACTCACCCATCCACCCACTCACCCATCGACAAACGCACCAACTCACTCATCCACCCACTCACCCACTCACCCACGCACCCGTCCACTCACTCAACCACCCACCCACTCACCCACTAACCCTTTCATCCACTCACCCACTCACCCACTCACTCACCCACCCACTCACCCCCTCACTCACTCACTCACCCACCCACCCACTCACCCACTCACCCACTCACTCACCCACCCACTCACTCATCCGCCCACTCACCCACTCACCCATCCATTAATCCACCCACCCACTCACCCACCCACTCACCCACTCACTCACTCACTCATCCACCCACTCACTCAACCACTAACCCACTCACTCACCCATCCACCCACTCACCCACCCACTCACTCATCCACCCACTCATCCACTCACCCACCCACTCACGCACCCACTCACACACTCACCCACCCAACCACTCACCCACTCAATCACCCACCCACTCACCCACTCACTCACCCACCCACTCACCCACTCACTCACCCACCCACTCACCCACTCACCCACCCACCCACTCACTCAACCACCCACCCACTCACCCATTCACCCTCTCACCCACTCACCCACTCACACACTCACCCACTCACTCACCCACCCACTCACCCACTCACTCACTCACCCACCCACCCACTCACCCACTCACCCATCCACTCACTCATCCGCCCACTCACCCACTCACCCATCCATTAATCCACCCACCCACTCACCCACCCACTCACCCACCCACTCACTCACTCATCCACACACTCACTCATCCACTCACCCACCCACTCACCCATCCACCCACTCACCCACTCACCCATCGACTCACCCACCAACTCACTCATCCACCGACTCACCCATCCATCCACTCACCCGCTCACCCACTCACCCACCCACTCACTCACCCACCCACTCACCCATCCACCTACTCACCCACTCACCCATCCATTCACCCACCCACTCACTCATCCACCCAATCACCCACTCACCCACCCACCGACTTACTCACCCACCCTCTCACCCAATCACCCACCCACTCACTCATCCACCCACTCTCTCACTCACCCATCCACTCACCCACCCACTCACTCATCTACCCACTTACCCATCCACCCACTCACCCACTCACTCACCCAGACACCCACCCACTCACTCATCCACCCATTCACCCACTTACTCACCCATCCACTCACCCACCCACTCACCGACCCACTCACCGACCCACTAACTCACCAACTCACTCATCCACCCACTCACCCACGCACTCACCCACTCACCCACCCACTCACCCATCCACCCACTCACCCATCGACAAACGCACCAACTCACTCATCCACCCACTCACCCACTCACCCACGCACCCGTCCACTCACTCAACCACCCACCCACTCACCCACTAACCCTTTCATCCACTCACCCACTCACCCACTCACTCACCCACCCACTCACCCCCTCACTCACTCACTCACCCACCCCCCCACTCACCCACTCACCCACTCACTCACCCACCCACTCACTCATCCGCCCACTCACCCACTCACCCATCCATTAATCCACCCACCCACTCACCCACCCACTCACCCACTCACTCACTCACTCATCCAC